GGAAGGATGGAGGAAGGGGGGAGGGAGGAGGAAGAGACGAGGAGGCTACATAGGAGAAGCGCGAGTGTAGGACGGAGAGAGGCTACCGTCGTTCTTTTCTCGAATAGAACGCACGGTTAATACCTCTGTATCTAGACGAAGTTGTGGCTCAGATACGGCTCTGATGACCGTGTGTTCTATTCGGGTATAGAACAGAACGACGGCAGCCTCCTCCTGTAATGACCGTGCGCTCCTCCTCTGATCTAATGAACGCGCAGGAGGGAAGACGATAGAGGAGGTGCACGAAGGAGGTCAGGGATGGAAGAAAGATCAAAAGGAGAAGAGATTCGACATCGAAGAGCAGGATGAGGCGCAGGCGACCATCACCCAAGGCAAAGGCACTGACAAAAAGCATGAGAAGGGAGGAGGGAGGAGGAGGGAGGGGGGACAGAGAACACGACGAGAGAGACATCGAAGGGGAAGGGCGGCCCGGGGGGTAGGGGGATGAAGAGGGGAGACTGAAACAACGACTGCGCATCACATGGTGCCTTGAAGGAGGAGCAGAAGTGGGCTGCAATAGACAAGAACAGGACTTGAAGAACCCCGATGAGGAGGAGGACCAGGAGGAAGAGGAGCAACAGCAACAGGAGGAGGAGGAGGAGGAGGAGGAGGAGGAGGAGGAGGACACACGCCCGACAGCGAGCATAGGGCGAGGATGATGAAAATTTGGAAGAGGCGTGCTAGCACTCATAGTAACACAAGGGCGGAGGCAAGAGAAGAGAGGAGAGGAGGAGAGGAGGAGAGGAGGAGAGGAGGAGAGGAGGAGAGGAGGAGGAGGAGAGGGAGAGGAGGAGAGGAGGATTGAAGGAAAGAGGGACTAGAGGAGGGAAAAGAAAATACTGCACATTTGAATTACCTAGGGTCGGTCAGTTCAATTGACGATGTCTCAAGTCCGTAGCCCTTGATTTAAAAAGGGAGGGGGGAAAAAAAAAAAAAAAAAAAAAGGAAGGCGCAATGGAGAGACGACGGCCAATCGAACGATTCGATCCCTTTAATGTTTTCATGGAGGTAGGCCACCTCCAGCCAGTGTGATGGCGGCGATAGATAACCAGGGTGAGACGAGGAGGAGCAGGAGGGCAACGGGGGGAAATAGAAGAGAGAGAGAGAGAGAGAGA